GGGGCAGACGGATAAGACAGTGGTGCCCGACTAACACCGACCAGTCGGCCACACAGTATCTACACAGCAGGAACAAGGTGACATCTATTCCAAGTCTAATTCCTGTGGTCTTAGTTAGGTTTCTGTTGCTGCAATAGAACACCAGGAACAAAAGCAACTTGGGGGAGGATGATCTCAGGTCTCACTCTACCCTGAGGAAAGTCAGGGCAGGAACTCAAGGGAGGACCCTGGAGGCAGGAACTGAGGCTCTGCTTACTGCCTTTCTCCCAGGGCTTGTTCACTCACCTAGGAGTGGCCCCACTGCCAGAGAGCCGGACCCTTCCACGTCAATCGTTAATCAAGACAATCCCCCCATATTCACCTACAGACCACTCTTAAGGAAGGCATTTTCCCAATTGTAATTCTCTCTTCCCAGATATATCTAGATTTGTATCAAGCTGACCAAAGCTCTGATGTAAGAATTAGGTTAAATAAATATGCAATAATAACTTTTTGCACAGATTATTAAATGGATACATTGAGACCCCTCACCCAGGTCTAATCCAAAACGGCCACTCTGCCTTGCCTCTGAAAGCTGGCTATCAGACAGCTTGATGCTTCCACAAACTGTCCGCAAAGAGCTCCTGGACCGTGTGGACTGCTGTCTGCAAACTAACCTCACCTCCAGTCCAATGGAAAAGAGGGAGCAGACAGGAGGCCTGAACAGAGATGTGCTGGCCCCAACCCCAGGCAGACTGCCCAGCAGAGACCAGAGACCGGAGCCTGCAGAAGATTCCACTGTCGCCTGTGGGTGTCTATGCCAGCGCATGATTCTTACCATAGTATTTATGCCCATCTCTTTTTTTTTGGGGGGGGGGTCCAAGACAGGGTTTCTCTGTAGCTTTGGGAACTGTCCTGGAACTAGCTCTTGTAGACCAGGCTGGCCTCGAACTCACAAAGATCCGCCTGCCTCTGCCTTCCGAGTGCTGATATTAAAGGGCGCGCACCACCACTGCCCAGCTACTCATCTCTTGTATTTCTGCACTAGGTAGATCATATATCTCCCTAAAGGAAAAGAAGATCCTCAAGGGTGGGAGCTTCTTTGACTTGCTCAGCTCTGGAGTGCGAATTTCAAGTACAGTGTCTAGCATGGAGCGGATGCTGAATCAGCTTGCTTAGTGGACGAAGGAATGAATGAGAACGGGAAGGAAGGTACCTCATTGTTCAAAGAGAGCTCATGGAAGCTGATACGGAGCAGGAAAGAATCTACTCTAGAATTAAGTCAAAAGTGAGAAGTCTATTATTGTTGCTAATCTCTGCTGCACTACGAACGGGTGTCACAGCCAGCATTTCTAAGACTGGAAGTTACTGCAGAAATACAGTTGTCAGAGAACAGCGGGAGAAAAGAGTGAAACTAGATTTCACTACGTGAAGCACGCTTGGACCCAGAGGACGGAAGGATCTCTTAATACCGCCTGGACCGTACCGCATACACATGCATGTGTCTGTGCATGAGAATGACCCAGGGCCAGGTGAGAACGACTCGTGGCTTAGGAGACTCATATGTGAGAAATTTCAGTCCTAAAGGCAACTTCTTTCAAATCCAACTGTGTGTAACCATAGTTATTTTGTGTGCACATACACACACAGCATACACAAAACCCTTTTCTAACCTATGTCTGAAAATCTGGGCGTACAGTGGAACCTTGATTAAAGACTGGCAGATTATATATTTATCTTGCTGGCTTAAATGTAAATCTCCATCCCCCTCCTTCAGTGTTTCACGCAGGCTAGGTAAGCTCTCCACCACTGAGCTGGACCCAGTACCCATGGACTTCTCTTACAACTGTTATTTACTGATTTTTTTGGACTTAGCAGTGGCCTTTACTTCCAATTCTTAGATCTTCATTTTACCAGTCAGCCTTTCTGTAAATGGTTAAGATTTATAGCTGGGTGGTGGTGGCGCGCACCTTTAATCCCAGCACTCGGGAGGCAGAAGCAGGTGGATCTCTGTGAGTTTGAGGCCAGCCTGGACTATAAGAGTTAGTTCCAGGACAGGCACCAAAAAGCTGCACAGAGAAACCCTGTCTCGAAAAACAAAAACAAACAAACAAAAAACAAAGACTCTTATAAAAACAAAACTTATGGACAGAAGAAAATTGAAATGGTTGGATTCATTTGCAAACAGAAGCGTCTGCTTCTTTTTTGAGCTTACAGCTCCACAAAGGAGTGAGAAAAACTGACTTTATGCTCGGCCAACTGATTGCTTTTCTATGTGGGAACAAGGCCCTGCATGCGTGTTAGGGAATGTCTACTGCTGACCGAGTGGTAACACATGAGAAAGCTGAGGTCAGAACATGAGCTCAGGATCCTAGGCTAGTACGGGGTTGGACACTCAAAACCAAGAGCCATGCCCAGCCCAGATATACTTCATAGTGACAGGGCTCATCTCACCAGCTACTTTGAGCATGTTGACCCACATAGAGGGCTTACGTTACACATAGGATCACTGTGAAACGTGATTTAAGATGTGCCTTCCGGGGCTGGAGAGATGGCGATAAACCACCCTGCCTCCACCTTAGGGCAAACCATCTTACAGTAAAGGCAAACTAGTTCATTCCTGTTTATGATGAAGTCTCTGTTTCTCAAGGATGGGGCTGTGTCCCACCTGTAACCTCAACTACAGATGGTTCTGTACTGCCTGTTTCCAGGAATGTAATCACGTCTTTGTTTCAAAGAGTTGATCACCTTGCAACCATGTCTGTGTTTCAGGGGTTGTTATGACCAGCTTACTATTCTTACATTGCGCTTCTATAACTCCACCTATGTGCCTGCCAAATTCCCCATTAGAAATTCCCTACTTGTCTAAGCCACACCACCCTGAATGCACCCAATCTCATCTGGAGAATCCTCTACTCCTAAACTATTAAAAAAACTCTTATCTTTCGCACATCCGGTGTTAATCTCTTAAACCCCACCTTTAAGGAGAGACAGCCTGTGTACATGGATAATGATGATCCATGATGATTTGGGTTGGTGGAATTTCTCCTTACATCTAGGAATTAACCATTGCTCAGAGATTAAGAGCACCTCTTCCAGAGGGTACAGGTTCATTTCCAGAACCACACAGTGGCTCACAGCTTCTGGTAAGTTCCACCTCCAGGGGACATGAAGCTCTGTTCTGGCCTCCTTGGGTACTTGGCACACACATGGTGTATATACATACATGCAGATACATACACACACAAATGAAAATAAATAAATCTTTAAAAAATATAGAAAAGAAAAATTTGTCTTCTATTTAACCATGGGGAAAGAGCAGAAGAATCCAAATAGAGGCACCAGCTCAGTTCTTACAACAAAAATGCCAAGGTAGTGGCTTGGGCCTCAGCAGCAGAGCCTGGGCTATTGAGCTGGAGGCCTGGGGTTCCCTTCTCAGCACCAGAAGGAAGGTGTGAAAGAGAAAAAAGGCTTCAGGTCCCACAAAGTCAGAGACCTCCTGAGCAAGCGCAGCCTGTGCCACTGCCTGGGTTCACAGTAAAGGAGATGGCCAAGTGATGGCAGCACATGCCTTTAGTCCTAGCACTCTAGAGGCAGAGGCAGGGGGATCTACATGAGTTCAAGACCAGCCTGGTCTACAGAGTGAGTTCCAGGACAGCCATAGCTACATAGAGAAACCCTGTCTCGAAAAGCCAAGAGAGAGAAGGGGGAGGGGAGAAATAGGAGTGGGGGAGGGAGAGAAAGGCTGAGGGGGGATTTCTGTAAAGGACATCATAGGATAAGGAGACTCTAACACTGCACCAACTCACCAACGCAATACAACAGACTGCCGAGCCAAGACACCACCCACCATTGTCACGCTTTCCCAACTGTACAGACGCTGTTGTTGTGTTCTCCGTAAATACATGCCGAAATCCTCAAAGATATATGAGCTTCCAGACAGTTCCCAATTGGAGTTTCGCCTGCATGCATGTCTGTGCGAGGGACCTGGATCCCCTGGGATTGGAGTTACAGAGGATTGTGAGACGCCGTGTGGGTGCTGAAAACTGAGCCTGGGCCTCTGGGAGAGCAGCCAGTGCTCGCGGCCACCCAGCCATCTTCCCAACACCCCTTTCCTTCTGTTCTGAAACACGCCAGCCATAACCACACGCTGCTCTCCAAGAAGACAAGAGCCACACGGGAAGCAACCAATAGTACTACCATACCTACTTATTTATTGTGATGTTTCTGTAAACACCAACGTCGTGTGACCCCAGGGACGGCTTTCGGTGTCACATAAAAACTTAAACTGTTTCCTACCTTTTGGTGTCTTGTTGGAAAACTGGGAAGAAAAATGATATTTTTATTTTATATGAAATTAAGTAAAACAGACAATTTCTGCTTTTCTTCCCATAGTATAACAGGGGAAGGGACAATAATCATGTAAAGCCTTTGGCTTATTAATTACGTCAGAATAACACATCCCAGAGTCATCAATATCTTCTGTTTGAGCTTCTGAGGGCCAGTGTGGCATCTGCCCCTGGAAGCCAGACCATGTCTCATGCATGTTCAACCACTGAGGAGAATCCACTTCTAGCAAGGAATATCACCACACACACACACACACACACACACACACACACACACACACACACACGCACGCACGCACATACGCACACATGCGCACACACATACCCGCACACCCACGCACACTCCTGGACAATAAAATATACTGTCTTCCATTCAAGTTGCAGATAATCAAAAGGATACAAGCGAGAATATTTTGTTGGCACGCGGCCTAAAAGTTCTAAATTTATGTATTCTATTTTTGCTTCTTTCTTAGACTGGATTAGTTACCAGGCAACTGAAGTATTTAATTTCATTTGCTAATAGTTCCATGTGCATAGTGGCAGCTAAGCATGTGGGACTGTGGACGTCAGTACAAACAGCCCCCACCCAGCCTCTGCTCAGCCCTCACTGTACCCCAACACAAACCATCCTTCCGGTCTGTCTCTCTGACTGGTGCTTGTGGGGAAACTCACACGTCTTGTGCAAATGTTTATGGTACAGATGCCTTGGTGGTCTGTTATCCTCCCTCTAAGAGATCCTTGTGAGCAGCGTTCAGAACCCTCTTTCAGACTTCTGGTTCAAGATGGCAGACCAAGCACATATGTTTTCTTCCCTTCCTAGAGAAAGGAAATAAAATCTTTAGAAATATACCGCAGAGGAAAAACAAACAGGTCAGTGTAAAAAGAGCAATCTGAGAACAAGAGGAGTCCTTAGAAATAAAAAACATGTACAAATGTGCTCAGGGTTTTATCTTGAATGGAGGAAAAACTACAAATTCTGAATAAAATCACATTTTCCTATTAGCGGCAAGGATTAAATATCTTGCTTTAGGTTACAAAAGTAGTAGGATATAGAAATTCTAAATCACCTTCTCCTACCAAACACACAGACACACACACACATGCACGCACACACATATACACACACTCACACACACACATTCACACGACACACTCACACACACATTCACACCACACACAAACACACATACTCACACATTCACACCTACACACTCACACCTACACACTCGCACACTCACCCCCCACACACAAACTCAGACAAATCAACCCCACTGAATACAGTGTGACAGAAAAGGTGGCCTAGGAGATGATCATTGGAAAGTATGTTAAGTAGGAAACAAAAATAAATGACAGGGATGACCCCAAATATGCCAATAGGCATAACACAAAGGACTTAAAACTCCCCTATTAAAAGGCAGGCTTTTAGATGGGAAATAGTATAACCACCCATATGGTACCTAGGAAGGGACTTAAATGCTATGGCATGGAATACTTGGAAATAACCATAGTATACTATCAATAAGAAAAATAGAAAAAAGGCATTGATATGATTAGACCAAAACAGAATCTCAGGACAAGCGAGCATTGTGATGTGGGTTAGATTACAGAACATCCCAAGCGGGGGCACCTGGGAAGCCCAAGCTCAGAGCAGGGAGCTTCCCGGCTTCTCACTTAGACACTGATGAATCAAGCACCGGAAAGACAGGTGATTTGAACACACAGGCCGGAACTAGATGGTTTTCACATTCAAATTCAGTTCTCAAAGAACAGCACAAAGCATTCGTGGTTAAATTTGTACAGAACACTTCGGAAATCTCACCAGCACTAGGTCACAAGTAACATCTCAATAAAACTTCCTTGGAAAGGGAAATATTCCAGGCCTCCTGGAGCTCTAACTCAAGAGTAATTTATGGAAGAAAATCAAAGGTGAAATTAGAGACAGCACTGTGATGAATGGTCCTGGAGCACTCAGCTCAGAGTCTGCAGGAGGCATCAAAGAGACTCCAACTTCCAAGGCTCCCAGCAAGCAGAGAAGCCTGAAAATCGCTGTTAGCTCAAGAAAAAAAAATTAAAGTTGAAGGGAATCAATAAAGAAAAAGATGATGAAAGAGAAACAAGTTGGTTTGATCGTTAGACCTAAAGATGTCACAATTAATAAAAAGACAAGATTAAAAAAAAACAAAGCCAAATAAACAGAAAACTAAAACTTAAAACCGGTTGAGCAATGCAAAATTAAGAATAAACAGGGCATGACAATTACAGGCATGGATTCGATTTCAAAATTACCACATGCGCGTGTGTGCAAGTACTAATGATACGTCTGAAAATATAAGCAAGGAAATGAAAGTAAAATGATTCTAAAACATATAAGTTACTAAAATGAACCAACAAGGGGCAGAGAGAACAAGGAAGCAGAACTGGAGGCAGAGGGTTCCACGTACAGATGGTTTGGGGACTTGGTGCTTTCTTTTTCCTGTAACAGTCTGGAAAGTACACATTCGCTTCTGTCGAGACACGAGGTTATCAAAAGCTTTTCTGTTTGCTGCACGAAGCTGGAGGAACCTGGATTCTCCCACAGCTAGCTTGATAGATACATATTTGTGTGGTGATATTTTATTTGTGCGTTAACAAATAAAGCTTGCCTGAAAATCAGCAAGCGGAGTTAGCTACACTGGTTAGCCCTAGAGCCAGCTGTGGTGGCACATGCCTGCACACCAGAAGAGGGCACCAGATCTCACTAAAAATGGTTGTGAGCCACCCTGTCGTTGCTGAGAACTGAACTCAGGTCCTCTGGAAGAGCAGTCAGTGCTCTTAACCTCTGAACCATCTTTCTGGTCCCTCCATTTGCCACCGCAATGGGTTCCATGGCTAATTAGTGTGGCTTGCTCTGCACTCTGATCTTCAGGCCAGCTTTATTTGTTAAAGCACAAACAAAATATCTCCACATATCTGAGGTAGTTGTCTTGCATCCACATTCCACTGACCTAAGAGGCAGAGAGGAAGAGGATGCCTGAGGGATAAACCAGGGCTGGGTGCACTCCCACACGTGTAGCTGCAGTTTCTCCCTGATTTCCAGGCCACCTCTGACAAAGCAGTGATTTACTCTGTAATGAAGGGAAGAGGTGACGTCCAAAACAAGCCCAGGGACTTCAGTAACTAAAAATCACAACGACCTGTGACACCAGCAGGATTGACCTAACTAGAAGTAGAAGACCCTTCTTGCACACACGCCTTGCCTGAGTGTTCTGAAACATGGCAAGCACGTTTTTAAAGCCATCTTCGGTGATGGTGCAGTGTCAGCCAATGAGGTGCTCTCCGTGGGCCAGGATGTAAATTCCCTTTGGCACCTGGGTAATGTCGCTGACAAATTAATTATTTTCTTCTCAATCTCTTTGCTCCTGCTAGCTTGCTTCTCAAATGTGTCCACCTTAGGGTAACCCATGTCCATCTATGCACAAAGTGGACAAGAAAGTAATACCTTCATTGTGGACATCTTAAGTTTACCTAAGAGCACACCCCCCTGGTTCTCTTCTGAGAGCCTTCACCCACAAACCCTTTGGAGGCATGTAATAACCCTGGGAGGGAGCCAGTGATATCAAGAATTGAATTACTGAACCGAACATTTTCCCAGTCAGCGGGTGAGTCAGAAACTAAATGAGATGCTCCTGCTTTCTGTCGTACCACGCTTCTTTTTCTGGGAAGCATGGTGGGGAGATAAATATCTCTCTTATTGCCGTCTACAAGATAGGAGTTGCCAGTGGCAGCCACAGTGGCCCTGCTTTATGCTACTGACAGACTGTTTTCAACATTATAATTGTTCTGCTCAAACATGAAAAGTTTCAAAATTGGTAGATATTTATTAATGATTCACTATAATTAATGATGTAGAGACCCAACATTTCCACTATGGAAGGGCTTAACTTAATTCCTAAAACAACCCTTAGTGGAAAAAGTACCCTAGAATAAGGGGGGTCCTTAACTTAAAAATTATATGTACACACACTCACACACACATACACACATCTCCATACTTAGCTAGAGAAATGTTAGGTTTAGTAATTCAATTCAGTAATTCACACATATATGAGACTAGGCACACACACATGTCTGTCTGTCTCTCTGTATGTATGTATAGTGGCATACATATTTGTCACAATAATGACATACATAATTGCCTGTGATTCTATCATTCAGGAGGCTGAGGCAGGAGGGCCAGAAGTCTGAGGCCATCATCCAGTAAGACTTTGTCTTGAAAGAATATATGCATGTGCACACGTGTGTGTGTGTGTGTGTGTGTGTGTGTGTGTGTGTGCACGCGCACGTGCCTGTGTGCCCATGAAGGTTCTAGGCACCGGATCCCTGGGAGCTGGAGTTACAGGTGGTTGGCTGTGGGCTGCCCAATGTAGATCCTGGGAACTGAACTCCAGTCCACAAAAGCAGTAAGTGCTCTTAACTGCTGAGCCATCTCTCCAGCCCTTAAAATATATTCTTGCTTTTAGAAAAATCTGTTAAGCACAACAAAGCAACTCCCATGGGCCTGCGGAGTCTTTGTTGCCCTTGTAAAAGGAGGCAGACTTACCAAGTGGGACAAAGAGTGTATTCTCACCCACTGCCTAAGCTTTAAACACCTTCTTGGGGAGAACAAGCTGGAGAGAAGCTGCTGGGCCACCTTTGGAGGGAGAACACAGCTGACGAATGTCACGTGCCACAAACACAATCCAGTAAAAAAAAAACCGGGGACAATATTGAAAACAGTGATGGGGAGCCTGCCGGATCAGAGGGAGTGGGGTACAGCAGGAAGGCTGTGTGGGTGAGAGACGGGGGAAGGAGCTGGTTCGGAGGGAGGGAGACTTCTTTTAGCAACCATTGAGAGAACATCGTTTATGATGAATCATACATCAGGCCTCAGCCCGTGTTTGAGAAACATACAATCCTTAGTGCTCCTTAAGCCCATATTCACTGCAGGAAAAGAAGCCTGGAACAGGTCTTGACTGAAAGATCCACATGTCTAAGACTGTTTGCTTTGAGAGCAGTGGCTTTCACTTGACCAAGTGATGTTACCGTGTCCTTTCTCCAGATCTGTCTACTCAGTTTAGGGCAAGCCTTGAAGGGTGCTTCTTTTCTGTTTCCTTTTTATTTCATGTCAACTTTTTCTTTTCTTTTTTCTTCTTCTTTTTTTTTTTGTCAGACAGGGTCTCATGTACCCTAGGCTAGCCTCCAACTCACTATGTAGTCCAGGCTGGCCTTGAACTCCTGATCCTCCTATCTTCCAGATGCTGCGATTATAGCTGTGTGCCTCTTTATCCCAAGAGTGCTAGGGATTTAACCCAGGATTAATCTACCTCACGCATGCAAGATAGGCAAGGACACTACTAACTGAGCTACACCTGTTGGCCCTGAACTGAGGTCTAAGCAATCCTCCTGCGTCAACTTCCCCAGTAGCTGGGACCCCAGTGACCACCACACTCGACTAGAGGAAATTTCTACAAGAGAGGGCTACCCCTCACCCAGATACTTAATCCCCTGAGGCAATGAGGTTGGAGCAGTCCTAAATAACTAGATAAGTCACTGATGAGACCTAGATAACCGCCAACTGGGATCCAACCTGGGGGGCGGGGGATGGCACAGGCAGAGGGACCGCCACCCCAGGAGTGTTCATCTTCCCAGGCAAAGCCAGTGCAGCACCTTGGGAAACCTTCACCTAAGGATGTTGAGATGAGGTAGGAATGAGGATTGGTGTTCTCTGCCTCATGCAGTGCCCAGCCTCAGGGGGAAGTTGCTAAAAGTGGCCTCCAAATAGTCTCTCAGAATTTCCA